TAAAGAGTCTAACGCGTTATTATCTTTGAGGAAGGCAGTGAAATTCACTAAACAGTCCATCCCAAATTCTAAGTATTTTATTATGACCAATTATTGAAGGCCCCGCAATTTGCATTTTTATTTGGCGAGGCTCGTCTCATTTTTGAAAGGATAAACCTACAGCGACTATATTTTTCTATTATGTTTGTCTCTAAAATGAAAGAAAGAAAAATATACGCTAATTAAATTACGAGCTTGGCAAGTTTGAGCCTTTTATCAATTATTGGGTTACAAAAATGCTAAACGCAAAATCGCAATCGAATTTACTCAAAAGAAAATTGTTTCATGCCTTATTCTATAATTGAACATTACTAAAAGAAAAAATGAAATTATAAATAAGATATAGAATTTACAAGTGCTATCGTCAAAACAAACCAATTATTCTTTAACTAATTTAAACTTCACATTATTAGACAAATTGAACCATTGGAACTAAAAAAAAATTATTATTTGAAAATGGGTCAAACTTGACTACCAACGTATTCGAAAGTTGTTAAACTTAATCGACACTTTGAAAATCTATTGCCTTTGAAAGAACTCTGACAAACCCGGTTCAAAATCAGCCCATGCCTATTAAGTTCATAACCTTAGCCTTACTACATCGAATCAAACTTCAAATACGGCAGACTCAACGATTCTGCGAAATTACTTGCTTAATATCCTACCAGTTTACGTCACCATTTAAACAGGTTTATTTTTCGAATCAACAACTACGGGATATGACCTTTATAAATTATCTACATAATTTAAATTTCTGTCACAGAACCTACACACCTAACAGTTTCAATTATACAGTCATGTTTCCAGTATTCATACAAAAATATATTACAAAAAAAAAACTAATATTAGATGAATCTCTTTCATTTGGCATCTATGGAATTGAAGGCGATAAATAACATCCACATGTACAGATTCGCTGCATAATCATGTTTCAACTTCAATTTAAGTTACATCAAGGTGATTCGAGGTATGTACCTGGATGTTGAAACACAACAACAAGAAGAAGAAAACAGAAAAATAAGCAGCAGCAAAATGGCAGCGGCAACAGCAATAGTAACGAACCAACAACAATAGCAAACAAAAGAAACAGCAGTTTCAGCAGTAAAGTAAGCAGGATAGATCCCAATGGAAGAGTTCAGCCACAACCAATGGGAATAGTGCTGAAAATCCAAACCAAAATAAACTCCGGAGACTCATCGGAGGCCAAGCAGAAATAGATGGATCCGCAATGACAGTGGAACCACAACTTTCTGGTTTTTGACACTCGAAGAAAGAAGTCCAAGTTTCGAATAAAACAAAACAATTAGTGCTGATTTTGAAAGAAAGGCGAAGAAAGGCAGAATTTTCAGCTTCCTCTTTGTTCTCAAGTTTCTTTTTTTTTTTTGGTTCAAACCCCCTTTTCCTCTCTTCTGGTTCTAAACTCTTGGTCTCTCCTCCTTTTTTCAGCTCCTTGGTTCTGGTTTTATATCCCCCCCCGGAAAAGAA